GCTGCTGTGCCTGTTTTTTGGGCTCCAGTTGCACTTAGGTCTTTAAGTTCCTTGAAAGGGCTTCCTTCTCTCCTACCTCTGGGCCTTCCCATGACAGTTTCCTCTCCACAGATAAAAACCAGTGAACTTTATCTGGCTGCTCCTTCCTTAGGGATAAGTGTGATGTCTCATTCTGGGCCAGGCCCTATGTGGCACTTTGCAGTTCCCCTTTTAATCATTCACCTCACTTTTAATTACATGAGTGGGGTGGACAGTCCCTAATTTTGTGGGCTAGCAGCCTATTTACTTTGTGTGTGGTTACAGTACTCTAGTTTTGTTTTCCAGTACCACCCTTCTCCATTCTCAATACATGTGCTTTGGGTAAAGTTGACCCAACCCCTAGGTGCTAGAGTGGAGCATGTGACTGAGGCTAGGCTAATCAGTACAATCCATCCACCCTGGCTCCAGAGATTGGCTCAGAAATGGACAGGTGATTTACATAAGCCAATCAGCATTAAGGGCACTTGATCCCTGGATTTTTGTTTGGTTCTTGCAATCACTGACTCACCTCCACTGGTCTAAGGTGGTGATGATGTGAGCCTGAAGCCACTTGGGCCATCATGAATAGCTAAGAACCAAACCAGCCCAGAGGGTGCAGAGCCAACAGATGGCTCCTAGTGACATCATGTACTCTTTGAATTAAGCTGTACCTAAGGCTAAATCAATTCTTGGCACATTTCAGCTATAGGGGCCAGGCAATTCCCTTCTTAAACATAGATCTGTTTGGGTTGTACTTGTTGTCAGTTCCAATTGAATAATCTCCTTGACAACTTTGGCCCATGTTGTCTTCTTTTTGCCATGAGTGCAGGGCCTGTATTTGTGTCCCCAGGACCTGGCTCAGTGCCTGATTCAACAAATGAACACAAAGAAGGAAAGGGGTCTCAGAGCTTTTCCTTCAGACCTGGACACGAGGCAGCGGGGCTTTTTTTTTTTTTTTTTGGGGGGGGTGGGGGGATGATCTGGCTAGAGTCCTACAGGAATCAATTTTTCTTTAGTGTGAGGAACTTCAATTTTAAGAAGGCAGATACTTAGAAGTTATGACAAAAGGGGCCCTAGGAAAGACTTGTTGCTCGATGAAATCTTCAGAGCACCTGAAGTGCAACTGTTAGCAAGATTCTTTTGGCCTATGGTTCTGAAAACTCTTATGTATTCTCTCTCTCTATTTGCTTATAGAGTATAAAGAAACTCTGAAAAGATACACATGAAACTAACAAAATTAGTTATCTGCAGAGAGTTGGAATGGAAAGTGTCCTAAGGGAGGCTAGGCAGGCATAGGAATGAAAATTTTTATATTGTTAGAATTTTGAGCCATCTGAATGTATTGACTTTTCAAAAATAAGACTATCTTTTGAGAGTGTAAAACCACCAGGAGTCATTATCAGCTCTTCACAGCTGTGGGGAGGACATTTATTTATCACCTGGGTTTTCCACAGGGGTATCTGATTTCAGTGGGGGAGTCCCTCAGATGGACTGGCAGGAGTAGTTTGTTTTGGTTGAGCAAGAGTGGTGGAAAGAGGGAAACCCTAGGGGACCATCTGGAGAGGTCTGGCCTGGCAGGTCACCACACCTGACAAGGTGACCTAGAGAATGAGGGGAATGGCGACCGAGCTACTCTTTTACAGGGGCCCATCTGCCCCTGGCTGGCCTTGATAATTTCTAAGACTCCTCTTATCTCAAAACAGGTCCTCAGCCCAATTTTGGGCAGGTCTGGAGGCATGTCCCTGGGAGCCTGTTAAATAGAAAAGGGTGGACTCGTGATCTGGGCTAACATTCCTTTCAGCTCTGGTGCTCTTATTTGAAGATGCTGTCTTCTCTCCCTTCCCCTGCTCTAAGGTCCCAGCTCTGTTCAGAAGATACAAGATATGGGCAGGGCCTACAACATGTATCTTCAGGACACACCAAGCTGAAACACTGACGGGAGCTCAAAACATCTCTCAAGGGCATTCACAGTTCCTTCCTGTGTTTAGATAGCGTTCACTGAGGTTTGGCAGTCGAGCAGGTGATGTAGGCCAGTGCGCTGCTGACAAGCTTCCTGCCTGTTCCCTCACTGGCACCTCTGGGGCTCCCCTGCACAGCACCTTCCTCACACAGCTGCTCCCTCAATCGTCTTGGGGACTTTAGCAGAGTTGAAAACCTGTGCTGGTGACTGTGATCCTAGAAAGGCTGCTGCCCCTCGCCTGAGATCCTCACAGGGCAGGAAGATCCCACCTTAGAGACACGGTGGTGGCAGCCAGCGGTCATGGGGCAGCAAAAGGGGATGAGCAGCATTTGAAGAAACCTGGTGTGGGGGGATGGTGGAGCAGCCTGCTGGTCTGTGGGGCTGGAGGATGGGTGGGGACCCAGGCACAGGGGTTGTCAAGCGGCGGGAAGGCAAGAGGCACAGTCAGAACATTCGCCAAGATCTAAAGTTTAGATTTTGATATTACACAAATGAGACCATGAATATAAGCCAGGGACACAGTGAAAGGAATGAAATATGTTCATTATACCATTCACAACTGTCAGTCCCCAGCCCCTGTGGTAGGGGCAGGGCAAGAACAGCAGCAACTGTCTATGGAAGAGAGAACAGAGCAGGGGTAAAGAGGCCTTTCAAGGCTGCAGAGCCTCTATCATGTCTGTGCATCCATTCAAAGATCCAGGAGGATGGACATCAAATGGGCAGTGTTTATCTTTTGGAATAGTAGAATATTACTATATTTTGAAATATATATTTCTATATGCAAAGTAGAATATGAAATGATTTTTTATTTTTTATTTTTTTACATTGAAAAAAACCCTTAAAAACCAAATCACTGTACTCTAGGGATATTTGTGCTGAACAATCATGTTCAAAGTTCACGAAGATATGATTTCCCGGTTTCAAGAAGCCTGTCAGCACAAACCCCCTTGCCCTTGCAATTTCCTTGCTTGGCCCTGCCCAGGTCGTCACCTTATTTTCAATCTTTGTTAAAGGTGAGGAATCCTTTTAGTGCACTTTTAAACTTCAGATCCATTTAGAGTCCTTGAAGTGATTAAGGAGCTGATTTGTTAGGTGAACCAGTTAAAATGTTCTATTTCTCCCAAAGGTGGGGACCAAAAACACCACACAAGTGCTTCTGGGTAGAAAGGGTCTCTAAACTTTCCTGGGAATATTCAACTATTTGATGCCTCTTCTTTTCTCCTAAAAACAGACAGATAGACTAGACTAGGGAGGATTTCTATTTTCATTCAGAGAAAAGCATAACTCTAATACTATAGGCTATTGTTATCAACAGCAGGCAGGTTCCATGCAGAATGAATCTGATATTTTAGAAAAGGGTTCTGGGTGCCTTCCCCAGAGACCAAAACCAATGGAGAAATGAGATGTGGTCCTTGGTGCAGGTCTGCCCCCTATGGGCTAGATGCTCAATTTTTTAGTCTGTCGGTAGGGCTCAGAATGGTGTGGCTTTTTAACCTCCCCAGCTCCTGGAGCTACACTTGTCCCTTTCTTCTTCACTGTGACTACCTCTCCTCTGGTTAAGATCGCTTCAGGACCTCCCTCCTCTGCTGTCTTCTCTCCTGTGTCAGGGACAGCCTAGAATGTGACTCGATGACTCAAGAGCAACCCCAATATCTCAGTAAGAATTTGACTATAAAAGGGGAAGCTAAAGAGATGTGCTTTCCTTTTTCCTGTCTTGGAGCAGTGCGTTTCTGGCACAAGTGTTGGTACATAGCTCGGCAGTTTCCATTTCAGTCATGATATAATCAATAATGAGCAGAACAGGGAGATGTTCAGTGCTGAGTTTCTCTTGGTTGTGAAATAGCGAAAATGTACTAAGTCTTCCTGCAGCCTTTAATGTCTGATATTGACCAGAATCAGTCACCTGACATGAAAGACCAATTATAATAATTTCTTAGGAAATGATCCATGTATTACCAACCCCCACTACTGTTTGATCAGTAGCACTTCTGGGCCCTATTGCCACACACCTGGCACAACACAGGTGAACCTTGAAGTGAAATGCACCTGTGCTTTGAAGGCCCACTTTAAAAGGGTCACATTGGGTCTCCTGTAAGATGAAGCAGGAAGACTATTTAGATTTAGAATCTTGGCAGAACGTTGTCTTTAAGGTGTGCATTTTATGCTAATCAGAACTCTTAGCAAATAATTCACACTGACTAAGCAATTACTATGTGATAAATGCTTTACATGGCTTACTCTCCTCACTTCCTCCCAGAGTTTCTTGCTGTGAGGTGAGCATTCTGTTGCTCAGGCAGGTGGGAGAGGCTTAGGAGGAAAAATGACCTGCAGAATATCACCTGCCCAGTAAATTGAAGAGCCAGGATTCAAATCCAGGCTGGTGCTTCTCACCTCATTTAATGTAGTAGCTTCTGGAGGGTGAGAGCTGACTCATGGGGCAAAGGCAAGGAGTAGCATGGAGCTCTTTTGTGGACACAACACTGTGTCTCACGAGGATTCACATCATCTGTGCCTTTACGGGGGTGTTTATGTGTCAGGTAAATCCGTTCCTGCTCATCCCCTTGGGTTATCACTGGATCTGGGATATTTCAGAAAAAAATTGTGCTAATACCTAAATTAAATACCTAAAACTCCTCCATAAAATCTCGTGGAAACAAGTCCAAGTGTTCTTCAGCACATAGCTGCACAGGGAAACCAAGGCCAGAGGGAAGAGGCTTGAAAGACATTTCCTGGGTCTTTCCAGGGCTGACTGAGTCATTTCTAATGCTTCCAGCTAAGGCTGAAGGCATTTATGATAGGCTGTGCCTCAACACACTGAGAAAAATCTTGTTTAATTCCCTAGTCCTCAAGAAAAATGTAAAAAATAAAGCATTACGTTCTTTGCAAACCAATCTTTCAATTTTCCCAACACACCTGTGGATGTTAAATTAAAAAGAAAATCTTGAATATAAGAATTTACTTGGCTTCTAAGTTATGTAAATGTTCTCTATTGACTTAAAATCGTTTCCCATCTACTTTGCAGAGTCCATCTTTCTACATAATATTGTTATTAAAAGCTGCTGTTTACCATGGAAGATGGTATCAACTACTCACTGTCTCAGGGCCACTCGCTCTGAAATGATGCTTCTATTGGAGAGAGGTTTGCATTGTCCACGTTTGGAGGTTCTATTCTTTTCCATGTAAGGTGAATACTGCTCCGTTCTTCTCCATCTCTATTTATTATGGGATTCAAAACTTCACATTAATACCATTTTTCTAGGAAAACGCTGAAGAAAATACACATTGAACCCTAAATGGAATCATTAATTAGATAGATTACATAATGATAAGAGATTCATGAAAGCTTAATCTTAGGATATTAAAATCACCATAAATTAAAACAACACAATCTAAGATGGTCTGTATACCTTGATTGATGCTCTGCCCTGTGCATGTATTTATGCTGGTAAATAAAGACTGCAGGTGAATTTGTATTGAAAAATAATAATAATAAAATAAAATTAGCTCATGGTTTGATACTGGTTATAAGAGGAAAAAATATATGTTTTGTTTATAGGTGAGGATACTACAGCCCAAAGAGGAAAGTGACATACCCAAGGTCCTATTGCTGTTAGTGGGTTTCTCCCTTGGGTGCACACTAGAATGGGAGAGTTTTAAATGGTATTGATGTCAGGCCTCACTGCAGACAAGTTGATCAGACTTTTCTGAGAATGGAGCCTGGATACTGGTCCTTTTAAAGGCTCTTCTGCTGAGAACTGAGTTGGACAAGAACATATACACTGCAAGCCTGTCCCATAGTTGTCACCTCCAGGGCAACCTCTCATTCCCCTTCCTGAGCCCATGGCAGACTTGACCAGCGGCTATAGAACTCTGCTGCACAGCACTTGGGCTGCTTCTCCTCCTGTTCCCGAGCACTGGGAGACCATTTGAAGCTGAGTGCGTGAGCACTATATCTTGGTTCCTCTAAACAAAACCACACAGAATATCTGAGAATATTTTTGTAGCAAACTTGGATTGTATATTCTTGAGGTCCAGGGTATGCACCTATTAGCCACCAGGGCTGTGCAGGGCCATACCTGGGAAAAAGCCACATGGTCCTCCACTGAGGTTCTGCTCCAGCTCATCTCACAGAGAGCAACTTCTTCCTTTTATACACAGATGCGGAACTGGATGGATCTAGGTTTGAATGCTGTTCTGCTATTTACAACTTGCATGACTTTGGGCGAGTTCCTTGTGCCTTCGTTTCTTTATGTATAAGTAAGAATAATATGAAACTATTGCATGGGTCCCTCTTTCTTGCCTCTCCTCTGATTTTGATTTCCAGCAAAACTGATATTTGGGCCCTCAGTATTTCCATCCCTCTTTGTCTGACTTGCAATCCTCTCAGTCCCTTGATACTAATTTGTTCTGATGAATAAATCCTTCATAACAAAGAGTCCTTAGTCGCCACGATCATGTATACCCATTGCCTGTCTTAGACAGTGACTATATTCAGGCCATTTTTTTTTTCTCTTGGATGCTGTGTACTTCTGTAGCCAGAGATGAACTATATACAGTCTCTTAACAATTTAGATCCTATTGAAATCAATTCTATTCACAACTGAGAGCAAAGGATGTAGTCTATTGGCCTAGATGCAAAATAAAACCAATCCACCAGGAAAAACAACACAAAAAACAACCTCCACCCCTACCCTTCCCACCGGCCTCAACAAACTATATTCTAGTAGTCTGAGTCTGAGCCTATGTCATACCCACAAAACCCTCTTCTTTATAGTAGAGACCAGTTTTAGTTAAATCTTTGAGCAGGTCAATGCCCCCATGGCTTTGATCCCTGTCATCTTTTTGGTTGAAATATAAGTTCCATCCAGGCTTTCCTCTCAATACTGCTCTGTTCTTCCCATCTCCTGCTTCCCCCACTTTCCCCAACTGCCGCCTTCTGAACAACTCTGCTTACTATGCCTTCTGGAAGGTCCATCTCATGGTAAGTGAACTCCTCATGCCCTGACCCTGCCTTGACTGAACAGAGCTTCTTAGGAATAACTCCCTTTCATTCTCGGAGTGGGATGTCATTCCAGAGTTCAACAGTCTTCCTAAATAAGGGTGCCACACATGGAATATGTGTCACGTGAAAAATGTGTGTGTCATCTTGTTCTCTCAACTGCTTCTTCTAATTAGTCCAGTTTGTATCTGTGGGACCAATGGGACAGATTTAGTTCTTAATTCAATCCTACTTATCTCACTAGTGTAGGTTTGGCTGTTACCATTTTATTTGCCCACATTCAATGTGAAAATCAAGACAAATCTATTTCCTGAAACACATAAAGTAGCATGATGCCTCAGTGCATGCTGTTTATTATTATTATTATTTTTATTATTATTATTATTATTATTATTTTTAGTTTTGTACTAGCTAGGGATTGAACCCAGGGGCTCTCTACTACTGAACTACCACATCCCCTTTCCTTTTTATTTTTTGAGATTGGCTTTCATTAAGTTGCTCAGGCTGGCCTTAAATGTGCCTCAGCCTCCAGAATTACTGGGATTCAGGCATATACCACCAGCTCTTTTACTTTTTAAAAAATGCTCCTGGTTCCTTATTAACTCTCTAGCCTTCATGAGGACAACTTAAGAATCATCTACAAGGAGGAAGAAATGACTTCTCTCTACGTGACTTACATGCCTGTCCCTGGTAAGGAGGCACTGACTTGTGACTGCGAGAACTCCCTGCTCATCTCAAGAGCAAGTGCTACCCTGCTTTTCTCCCCTCACTGAAAGCACTGAGAGCACACAACTGGTGTCATTTAGAACTCCCTGTCTCTCTAATCTCTGATTCGAGTCTCTTCCCCACTACACATACCACATCTTCCAAGATGTGGCTCACACAATGCTGGGCTCATGGAGGTATTTTTAAAATTTAAATTTTTCTTTGAAGGTGCTGGGGATAGAACCCAGGGCCTTGCGCATTCTAGGCAAGTGCTCTACCATTGAACTACATCCTCAGCCCATAAAAGTGTTTTTTTTTAGAGGAACAGTATTCATATCATTTTAATAAAGTGATTCACTTCCCAATAAATAAATGACAGTATTGTAAGCCAAAATAAGAATTTTGGAAAACTTCTATTACCACAGTGAGCATGACAACTTCCCCAATAGGTAAATTCTTTCCTGATGAGACTAGTGGTGATAGTAACAAGTGATTTTTTTTTTTATACTTTTTATAATGAAATGTGACAGTATTTGAAAGATCTATATAATCAGCAAAAATATTACCAAATGACTACATGATATAACAATTTGTATGTCATTAAATCCAATTCTTGTTTTGCAGATGAACCCAAAGACACAGTGGCTTATAGTGCCCCAGGAAGCTAGTGGCTTGATTGTCTCAGTTTCCCCGTGGCACAGAGAGTCTTTAAAGAGTTTGAGGTCTAATGTCTAAGACAATACAGAAGCACACAAATAACCACAAGGAAAGATATTATATGAGAAATAGAAAGTGTGAAGGCAGAAGGAAGGGGGAGAAATCACACCTTTTTAAGCAGGGGTGTGGTGTTGAGTAGGAGGACAATCAGGATTGTGTATGACAGTTCTCAACCTTTTTAGTTTCAACATCTTTTTAGGCTCTTAAGAATTATGAATCCCAAAGAGGTTTTTTTTTTGTTTGTTTGTGTGTGTGTGATTCTGTAATATTTATTACATTAGAAATATATATAAACATCAAATTTTTAGAAAAATAATTATATTTTCCAACACAAATATAGTGGGAAGAGCAGTATTTGTTTTGCATTTCTGCCAATGAGCTTAACTTCATTTTGTCATCCATTATTTCAAGACATTTGAAGAAAGACAAATTTAATTATTAAAACAGGGCACAAAATTGTTTCACAAACCCAAAATAATATGAAGTAAACCCTTTAAAGATATTGTGTATTTTGAACTTTTTCATTGCTTCAGAACTATTTTAAAAAGACAGAGCTTATTACTGGGAATAGAATGTCATCTGATAAAAGATTTTGTTAAAACCTAAAACCTGCTGGGCATGATAGTGCAAGCCTGTAATCCCAACTACTTAGGAGGCTGAGGCAGGAGGATAGAATGTTCATGCCTGGGCTACTTAGTGAGAAGATCCTTTCTTCCAAACAACAAAAAAAAAAGGTGGCTGGGGATTTAGCTTGTGTTAGACTTCTTGCCTACTATGTGCAAGGCCCTGGTTTCAATCCCCAGTACCAAACAAACAAAACAAAACCTTAACAGCTGAGGAAAAAAAAAAAATCTATTTGAAATTTATTGCTGAACTTCATCATAGTACTTTGGAAACAAAGACTTTTCTTTTTTTCATATTGAAAAATATTAGGTCAGTAAGAAAAGTAGGGAAAGTGATACTGATTCACAGGTTGCTACCACCTTTGGGCCAAGAAAAGAAGGATTCTAAGTTTCTTGACATCTGGATATGTATCACATCAACCTCCTCTGTTCTTGAACTTAGGACCTGTACCTTTTAACCATGCTTTTTTATGAACGCATGTACATACATGTACAAATATACACCCACTCTTTCTTAAATTTGCAGCATGCACATTTGCTGCTGTGAGGGTGTATGTCACCCAGTTTTCTCACCCATTCCACTGTTCATGGGACTTGAGTTGTTCTAGGTTTATTTTTTGATGTTGTTGGCATCATTCTCAGTTTTTTCCACCAGGTTTTTATCACTTCATAAATTTTGTACACATTGGAAAAAAAACTGTTGTATTGTTGAGTATGGATAGATTCAAATTTACTAGGAAATGCCAATGTAATGAATGGATCAACAGTCTGAAAATTCAAGTGTTTATTCCTTATCCTTGTTAAAAATAATTGCAGGGTGGGGCATGGGATGAGTGGAGGAACTTTGGATGGGGCAAAGGGCACAAAGGAAGGGGCATGGGGCAGGGGGGTAAGAAAGATGGTGGAATGATATAGACATCATTACCCTAGATACGTCTATGATTGCACAAATGGTGTGACCCTACTTTGAGTACAACCAGAGAAGTAAAAAACTGGTCCATTTGTGTACAATTAATCAAAGAACATTCTGCTGTCAGGTATAAGCAATTAGAACAAACAAATAAATTAAAAAAAATAAGAGACATGGCATTATTCTAGAGCTTCTGGACAAAAACAGTAAAAAAGAGTCCCAAAATAGGTTCAAAAATTAAATAGTGATTATGGCTGCAATTATTTTAGTGAATATACTAAAACCAACAAATTGTAAAACACTTTTTGTAGTATATCCATTATATCTCAATATTGGTTATTTGTTTTAATAAAAAAAAATTGCAGCATGCTACTCCCTACCTAATGTCAATAAATTGTTCAACTGGATAGCTGGAAACTTTCTTGTTGACATTAAAAAAATACCAAAGTTATTTCAAATAATACCCATGTGAATATTAAAAAATAGAAAGTAACAAATACAGAATAAAGCTATTTATTTACTCATTTTTAGGCAGCATGAGGTCTGAGACTATACTACAGTTCAAAGAAAGCAGTTACCTGGCTTTACAACAGATACTTGCTAAAGGTGGGAAAATATTGAAAATAGGAATATCTTAAAACTTTTATAGGTTTACATTTTAAGATTATAGTTATCTAGAAACTACATTTTTCTTCTATATTGATACTAAAGTAGATGCATTTTAGCTTACATGTCAATAGGTAATTATATATAAATGTAATATTCTTTCTATATTTTAGATTAAAATAGTATAATACTAAAAGGCTTATAAACTCCCAATAAAAAATGGAAACTCATAGAGACATTTATGACATTACAGAATTATATTATGATTATTATGTTATGGAATGCCAAACACAGGTAATGTGTCCAAGTTTCAGGATAGTTACAATGAAAAAGAAAAAGTGAAAGGGACATTTTCATCCATCTAAATGAAAATAAGTTAAAATATTTTTAAAATTGATGATTTAGTAAAGTTGTTTATTGGAATCAATAGAAGTCATCACCCTTATGACTAATATGACAAATCTCATGAGATTTTGAATATGAATCTTGTTGTTTTGCAATTTTTTGGAATAGATGAATTCAATCTAAATCCTATTATATTTCTGACACAATTACAAAGACAAATAGTTTTGGGGAGTAAAAAATTTTATTGAAAGATAAAATCTATAAACATGTCCTTGATAGAAAAATATTAGCATTGGTCACGAGGAGATTTGTTCTATTGCAATGCTAGACTTATATAAGTTTTATAAATACACAAATGTGTCATGGCTAGCAAAAGGCTTTTAATGACTAGATAGATATTCCTTGCTTTTGAAGAGTGGCTGGAATGGAGTCAGCATAAGACCAAGAAATCATAACTTTGCTAAAAATTACTCCCTTTCAGTGTGTCCTGTGTTACACATTTGAACCAAATTGTATACACTTGTGGTA